AATCATCCTAAACCCGAATTTGTGTACTGTAGGTCATTTGGTGTCAGGTCTTGTCACCTACTCATCTGTGGGTTGAGAGGGGAAATTGCTGGTTCAGGAATTGGGAAACTCTGAGGGTAACAATGGGGCTTACCTCCCTGGGCCTGTTTTCTTTCCCATCTGTAAAATGGGGCCATGCCCATGCTTCTTTCCCATACCCTCATCTGTAGGTCAGGGCCACAGAACGATCAGGTGTCCCTCATGTTTAACCAGGCTAGTGGCCATGTCCCCAGTGACCCTGCTCGAGAATGGGAGCTTTCCAGTCAACAACCATACCACCCTGAATGTGCCCGATCTCATCTGATCTCGGAAGCTCAGTAGGGTCAGGCCTGGTTAGTACTTGGATGGGAGAATGGGGCCTTACCAGCCATCCTGTCCCCTTAGCTCCTGTAGATACCCAGAGATCTTGAGGAGCAACTCCCCGAGTTGGGAGGGGCATACCTGGGGCTGACCCTGCTGTGGCAGGCAAGCTGAGGACCACAGAAGGACTTGTTCATCGTCATGAAGCCATGTTCATCATCAGAGCCTTTGCTGGACTCCCAAAATACACCCAGCAGCAAATGCTCTAAATCATAGGTTGGCAGACTCTTTCTTCTTCTTCTTCTTTTTTTTTTTTTTAGATTTTATTTATTTATTTGAGAGAGAGAATGAGAGAGAGTGAGCATGAGAGGGGGGAGGGTCAGAGGGAGAAGCAGACTCCCTGCTGAGCAGGGAGCCCGATGCAGGACTCGATCCCGGGACTCCAGGATCATGACCTGAGCTGAAGGCAGTCGCTTAACCAACTGAGCCACCCAGGCGCCCTGGCAGACTCTTTCTGTAAAGTCCACATATGAAATGTTTTAGGCTTGTGGGTCTCTGTAGCAACTCCACAATCCTGCCATCGTATTATGAAAACAGCCACTGGCAGTAGGTCAATGAATGGGTGTGGCTGTACTCCAGTAAAGCTTGATTGATAAAAACGAGAGGTGTATATATAGCCCAAAGCACTGAAAACAGGGTCATGAACAGATATTTGCATACCCATACTCATAGCAGCATCATTCACTACAACCAAAGGGAGGAAGCAATCCATGTGTCCATCAGTGGATAAATGGATAAACAAAATGTGGTGCACACATCCAAGGGAATATTATTCAGCCTTAAAAAGGAAAAATATCTTGACAAATGTCACGACATGGATGAACCTTGAGGACATCATGTTTAGGGAAATAAGCCAGTGACAAAAGCACAAATGATTCTACTCATACGAGCTATCCCAAGCTATCAAACTCACAGAGACAGCAAGTAGAATGGTGGGGAGGGGGCAATGAGAGTTAGTGAAATGGGTGCAGTTTCAGTCTGGGAAGATGAAAAAGTTCTGGAGATGGATGGTGGTGTTGGTCACAGAACATTGTACTCAGTGGCCTTTAAGCTGCATGCAAGCTTAAAAATTGTTAACATGGTAAATCTTATATGATGTGTATTTTACCTCCAAAAAAATAAGATAAATAGGCAGACCAGATTTGGCCCATGGGCCATAGTTTTCCGCTTCCTACTCTGAATGAATTGGTATTTTATTAACCACAACTTCTCTACAGGCTTTGGGAGGACAGTCGTAAATAACCCTACCTTGGGGGCATCACGTTAATCTGGTCTGGAAACTATGCGTGCCCACCAGGGAGTCAAGGCTCTCCCTCCTGAGGATCTGGGCTCTTCTTCCTCCCCTCACAGTAATTCCAGTATCGGGTGATGCTTTCTGTCCCACGCTGCCCTGAATTACACTATCTGGCCTCAAATCTTTGGTTGTGAGGAAGGACTGTGGCTGCTTCCCTCCCCCTCAACCCTACTCCATAAGGACCCAGAGGGTGGACAGAGGTACCCAGAATCTCAGAAGGACCCTTCAGCTGCTTTCAAATTTATGAACAGCAAATGCCCTGACCCTCTCGCCTTTTTTTCTGAAACACATTCCAGCTTCTTCTACAGCTAGCTTTGTAGGGGCAGGAGGACAACCTGGGCTGGTGTCCCCTTCTCTGCACTGGGAGTGGTCCTTCTGCCCCCATGCTGGGCTGGACAGAAGTTTCCAAACAGATGTGGCATCGGTCACTGATGCCACTCGGTCAGCACTATGGGGGAGCATCTCTTCTTCCAAAGGACTGCTCGAGCAGAACAACTGTCATTAGCTCAGACCCTTTGAGCCGTTGCTAAGGATGGTCATGGTGGCTCAGAGGCAGGAAGCTGGATGGCCTTGGGGTTGGCTGCCTCTGGCCCAGCGTGGCTGCCCTAAGGCCAGGTGCTGCCCTGAATGGCTTTCAGGGCCGCCCTGATATGGGTTTGCTTAGGGTCAGCAGCTCTGCAAGCCATCCATCCCTTTGCCAGCAAATTTGATTCACCTCTTAGTTTCTCCATGTCCCTGAATGGGAATTGACTTGAATGCCCAGAGTTAAAAGACCAGAAGTCGTGAAACATCGCCCAGGGATGGTGGCAGCTCAGAAGCAAACAAGCTGATTAAATACGTCTCGAAGTTAAGACTCCGTTATTGCTTCTGGTTCTAAATCACAGCTCTGGCGTGCGTGAGGAGGAGCCTTTGACATATATGGCGATTAACTCTGTTGAAGAAGTGAGCAAGGTGACTTATCTGTAGGAGAAATAAAAGTGCTTTTGTGCAAAATAGGGCCAAAATCACGAGGTTTATGGTCGTAGGAAAAAATGCCTCGAGGTAGAAAATGAACTGAGAATGTTCATTGTGGAAAACCATTTGTTGAGCACTTACTACCTGCTGGGCACTCTGCTTGCTCTCTCTAGATTTATGTAATTTAAGTCTTAGAGCAACCCTTCAAGGCAGTAGTTCCTGTTTTCATGAGGAAACTAAGACTCAAAGAGGGTCTTAAGCCCAGGTCACCCCGCAGGAAGGGGTCAAGTTAGAATGCAGACCCAGATTTGGGCCAAAATCGAAAGCATCCTGGTCCCAATGAGGAGAAGGGAGTTGCCGTGAAGAGGAGCCAGAAAGAGAATCCCACCCAGCTCCCCACACCAACCAGCACTGGGTGACACCCACCAGATTCTAGACACAATACAGAGGATACCTATTTAGTCCTCATGACTAATCATAGTATTCAGTGTTCCATAGTCGTAAGCAACAGGAACACATGGGAGCAAGCTTAAGTGAAAAAGGAGGATTTTAATTTCAAGGACAAACGGTATCTCCTGCCACTCATGCACAGGAGGGAGCCAGGCTGCCTGGGATGGCTGGAAATGAGGGCGGGAGCGCTGGAGGACTCTGGCCTTGTGGAAGGAGGTGGAAATGGCCGCTCAGAGCATCCACATCCATCCAGGCCTCTCCCCGGGCCGGTCGGCCCTCCTGGGGTCAGGTCACAGCAGACAAAATGGCTTGAGTGAGGTGGGTATAGCTAAAGGTCGTTGTGAGTTACGCAGACTTTAGTTATTCTTAACTCCAGTGGTTGGGTAGTTTTATCCCCACTTTACACAGAAAGAATCAAGATTCACAGGGGGCGAATGCCCTTGCCCAAGGTCACATGGCCAGTGGTGGTGAAGGGGGAGGGCAGGGTTTGAACCATGTTCATATCAGAATCACCACATATGTGCCACTCTAGAGTACAAATTGTCCTAAATTCGTCCTTTGATCAGAAACTGGAAAAGAAACTAGGATAGTTTCAGCTGAGAAGGGCAGCTCGAAAGTCTGTGTAATATTTGGTCCAGTCTCATTTAAAAAGCTCTGCTTTCAAGGACGGTGACCAACAAGCTAGTTTCAACAACCAGTAAAAGTCAGAACAAGAAACAGGTCTTCTGAGAACAACGTCCTGATACTCAAGGGTCACTGAGGCACGAGGGCCCGCCTGTCCTAAAGGCCACATCCATTGGTTCTCTTGGTTCTGTCCAGCCCTCAAGCTGAAATCTGTCTCGACAAACCACCCCTGGCAGAAAATTGGGACACCCTGGGCGTTTGGATGTTCTCATCTGACCTTTTCACAATCCCCAAGCAGATGGACCCACGTGTTTTCTTTGGCTCCCTTGTTGCACTTGGGAGCGAACGTTCATTCTTAGATATTTCAGTTTACCCGTGGGGTGGAGAGTATGGAGTTTGTTTATAAATGAATATTTTGGTGCAGGCCTGACTTGACACTAACTTAGCTACTTCAGGGATGCTTGACCCTAAATGAACATTAATTCTTGTCTACAAAAGTTGGCCAAGAGAGTACAAATTTTAAAGGCTATGAACTTACCACAAGATTTGGAAGAGCATGTGCTTCATTGGAAATACTACCCTGCATTGTTTGTCCCAAAAGGAGTATCTAAATCCACCTTTGTGTTTGTAAACACTGAATATTGGCCAGAGAGATGAGTGGGAAAGCGTAATGGAGAGTGTGTGTCCTTTGGGAGCACAATGAGTCTCTCAGAGAAGGGGAAGATTTTTGTGGGAAGGAGGATTTTTGAAGCCGGTTATAAGACTATTTACTGGGGGGCGCATGGGTGGCTCGGTTGGTTGGGCGACTGCCTTCGGCTCAGGTCATGATCCTGGAGTCCTGGGATCGAGTCCCGCATCGGGCTCCCTGCTCAGCAGGGAGTCTGCTTCTCC